GAAAATTCCTTGATCTTTTTTTTTTTTGGGGGGGGGACAAGATGCTTTCATTTCTAGTTGTTCTATCCTGGGCCTCTTCCTGGCCACTACGGGGGGCCAGGAACAATTAGAAACGAGCACAATGAGAACTGAGCACGATTAGAAATGAACGACGTGTAACTCTCTGTCCCCCCCAGTGTAGTGAGTCAGTGGGCTTCGGAGTCACCGCGCGGTCTTCGGACTCGGGTCGTGCTCCGAGGCCACCTCGGGCGAATGATGCCTCCAAGGTCCCAAAGCCGTGCGGCGGCAGACTGTGCGGTGAGGTCTTCGGGGATTCCGATGTCACCGCACGGTCTGTCGCCGCACCGTTTTGGGACCCCAATGTACACCTACGGCAGGTTCGTATCGTGCCACGGACCTGACGTACACTGTTTCTGGCCAGGCCAATCTCAGGCCCAGGAGCGGTGTGGATGCCTTCCCGGCCAGGCCAGGAGTGCGTATACACAGACCTCCAGCGCAGCGTTTTTTCTCGCAGCGTGGACCCCTGGAGGCCTGGACCCCTTCCCTGGGGCCGGCTTTTCATCCTGAGTCGTTCCTTCACGGCCTTGGGGCCCAGCGAAGGCCCCAAGGAGCCGAATATTGGCAACATCGGGCCGCCGTGATACTTCCCATGTCACGAGAGAAGTCTGGGTACACGGGCCTTTGGCCCAGCATGGGCCTGGCCAGGATGCGGCGGCGCGCCGAGGGGAGCAGGCAAGGGTGTGGCCAGCAGGCTCAGAAGCCCTCCGGTCTTCTCAGAAGATTTCTAAGCCTTCTCCAGAGCCGCAGGGGGGGCTTCCCAGAAGGCAGGAGGTCTTGTGAGAAGCCCCGCCGCCCTCTGAGAAGGCCCGCCCTCTCCTCGGCGCGCCGTCGAAGCCTCGGTGCAGGTCGGACTGGGCCAGGACGAGGACGAATCCGTTCCAGAGCCTTCCGGGGCGCTCTCGGAGCGTTCCGGAGCGCTCCGAGGAGGCCGCGGCGCCCGAGACATCCTCTGGGGCCCCAGATCCCAGAGACTCTCGATGTGTCTTCGCTTACGTCGGGCCGGTCCCTCTACAGGAAGAAGATTCAAGTCGGGCCTGACCCTTCTACAGGAAGAATATTCAAAATAGTCAAAACATAGTCTGGGGACCATTTTTCTGTTATTGCTTGACCATGTTGGCGTATTTCTTGGACTATCTTGCATTTTTCCTCCAAGATCCCCCTGTAGGGGGACAGGCCCGACGTAAGTCTTCGCCCGATTCTATCCTCGTCCTGGCCCCGTCCTTTCAGGGTGCACAGCTGGCGCCCCCCCCTCGCGGGCCCGCGGCCGCTGCGCCGAGGCGCCGGCCCGGGCGCCGGCCGCCGCGTGCGCGGGCCTCGGCTCGGCACGAACGGAATGGGTACGTCGGGGGCGGCAAAGAGAGGGGGGTGATGGCCAGGGGGGGGGTGGATGTCATGGCGTGGGCCATGATATTTCCGCAGATCTCATGGCGCCTCTTCTTGTTTCAATGCGTTCCCTGGCCCCCCCCTGGGGCCGCGCACACGCCGCCAGCCATGATTTGCACCCCTCCCTCTTGGACACCCCCCTCTTGGCCGCCCCCGAGTACGGAAAGAGTGTGTACGATGCCCAACAGCAGTTCGTGCTCATCTTGAACAGGGCTCGCGGCCCGCGCCGCCGCGGCCTCTGTGCCCACTCGAGACAGGAGGCCGCCTGCCCAACAGCGGCCGCTGCTGCTTTGGGACAGCATTTGTTGCTGGGCATTGTGCCCATCTGTTCCGCACCCATTTCGGGCGTCTAAAACAAGCACCAGTCGTGGCCAGGCCCATGATGGGCTTGGGATTTGCGCCATACAGCCTTGGCCAGGAGGGCGTATGCACCGACGCCGAGCCCAGCACTGGCCTAACCAGGATCGGTGTGCTCTCTGGCTTTGGCGTCCTCCTGGGCAGGGGACCTCGGAACTATTTCGGGCGTCCAAATCAGCCCCGAAGTGGGCGGTGAGCCCACGCGCGGGTGAAGGGAATCGGGGGAAGTCTGACAGCCGCGGGTGTCGTCACCAATCACTTCCGCTGCCTCGCCCGGGCCGTGCACCCCGGGCTGCCCTCGGCCAAGTCCGCCCCCTGCCTGCCTCGCCTCGCCTCGCAGGGGGCCCTCGGCGGGCCCTGGGGCGCACGGGGGGCCGAGGCCGAGGGCGCGGCCCGCGCGTGTCCTGGCACGCCAACCAACCTGGTGTGCACCGAACCATCCTCGACGAAACGCAATGCAAAGTGGGGCCGAGGCCGAGGACGAGGCCGTTCCAGAGGCGTTCCGGGGCGCGCGCGGAGGGGTCTGGAGCGCGCTGGGGAGGCCGCGGCGCCCGAGGCATTCTCCTGGGCTCCCGGATCTCAGAGATTCTCGATGTGTCTTCGCCCGATCTCACCTTCGTCCCGGCCTCGTCTTCTTCGGGACTGTCGGAACATCGGAGGTGGATGGACCTCCTACCCCGACACGTCGATTGAGGAGTTGGTCGTCCCTCGTTCCAGGGCCCGACTCCCCCAAGACCAGGGAGGGGGAGGCCGCGGGAGGGTCAGCGATGATGCTCCGCCCCCCCCCGCGCAGGGGGGAGGCCGCTTCTTCTGCAGCGCACTGCGAGATCGGGCAACCTGGACTCGGCTTTCCCGCCATCCTCGGCCTCGCGGCGCCCTCCACGGGCCTCGGGCTTGTTAGAATGAAGAGGGGAAAAAACACACAGACACAATTAATCCTCGATCCCCCAGAAAATATAAGAAAATATGGGCAGTGGGGGGGAAGACAAAAACCCAGAAACTATGGGAAAATATGGGGGATATTTTTATTTGTGTGTATTCATTTGTGTGTCCTGGGGCCCCTTCATAGAAGACGACTCGGGAGGAAGCGCTGGCCCTCGGCTCCTGGGGCCAGGCCCCGGTGTCCGGGACCTGTCTCGCTCCTGCGGACTGCCCCCGTGCGCAGGCTGGCGGCTCCGCACTTCCCGGCCAGGTGGGCACCCACCGCCAGCCTCGCGCCCGCCTCGTGCTCCCGGCGGGCGGCTCCGGACCCGCACCGCGCAGCTCCCGACCCAGCAGTTGCGCCTCGCAGCCTGCACCGAGCGCACGGGTCTGCCTGGCATCGCTCGGGCGTGTGCATGCTTTCCTCTGCGAGGACCATCGGGGAACATCTGGGATTGCCTCGCGAAAAAATAAGCGCACGATGCCGAAACATACACACGGGCGTCCGAGCGATGGCAATTCTATATATATATATATATTTCATAGGTTCATGTGTATATATATATATGTTGTGAAAACAGTTGGTTTCCAAAGACATGTAAGCATAAGCTATCAGCATGTTCTGGTAGTATTGCTTGGACCAGATTCAGACTCCCAGATTTCTGCTCGCGCGCTGGGATAGTTCCTATAAGTCCCAGATTTCTGCTCGCGCGCTGGGATAGTTCCTATAAGGCATGTAGTTTTTGTTGCTGTTGTGCCATCCTTTCAGATAAGACCATCGGGGTCACTCGTAGTTTGATAACGTCAAGTGATGAGGCGCGAACGAATTGTATGAGCCCGCTCAACACGCCTCCCAGGCTCCACTGAGGGCCAGCAGTATCTACATTTTGTTTTTTTTTTTTTTTTTTTTTTTTTTTTTTCTCTCTCTCTCTATCTTTCTCTCTCTCGCTCTGTATTCCCGTCCCCCCCTCGGCCTCGGCCTCTCCTTTATCTTCGCCCTCTCCACACCCCGTCCTTATCCCTCCGCATCGGCACCGATTAGAATATCTGCATCTGCAGATTCAACCATGACAAAATACGCTTGGCATTCAAGCAGCAGTGTTGGAATAGCCCCCCCATGATTCAACCCTTCTTATCAACCATTTTTCGCAGCAGGCGCTGATTTACAGGTTTTGTTGCAGTCCTGGTATCGGCATACATACATTTAGATCGGCACCTGAGGTCCATTGGTGTTTGCCTCTGTGTCAAGTGTGGCCATGGCTGTTGAAGCGGATGAAGCGGGCGGAATTGATCTCAAGAGGCTCGAGGCCATCCTTCAGCAGTTCGACATCACAATCGCCGAGGCGAATGATCTGGTAGATCTGGATAATCACAGCTTCGTGATTCTTGCAGATGATTCTGGGAGCATGAAGAACAGCAGTCTTTCAGCCGAAGAGCTGAACTCGAACGCTGAGCCGCGTTCGCGCTTCGACGAGGCTAGACAAGCGGCATCGATGATTATCGAGATGGCTTCCTGCTTCTCTGACAGGGGCACAGATCTGTATTTTTGCAACAGGAGGTCTCGGCAGCACATCAAAAGCATGAACGACGAAGAGTTCCAGCGTGCCTTCGACAAGTTGCCGAGCGGTCCATCGAACCTTGGCCAGCGAATCCTGGAGGTGGGCGAGCGTGCGGCCGTGCGCATGGGAGTGGAACGACCGATACTCATTTTTGTGCTCACCGATGGCTTGGTGGACAAGCAGGACCTGTTCGAGAATAATGTTGAGGCGCTGATGAAAAAGAAAACCAAAGCCAAGGGCAATTTCAAGCTGCAGCTCATGGCCTGCACAAGCAATGCGGAGGATGCAGAGTGGCTCTCCCAGCTGGAGTACAAGTTCGAGGCCGTGGACTGCATCGACGACTACCAGGAGGAGCTCAAGCAGGTGATCAGAGCAAGAAAGACGAAGACTTTCACCCGAGGGGACTGGGTCCTGAAGGCGATGCTGGGTCCGATCAGCAAGAAACACGACAACCTGGACGAGGGTGGACTGCTCGTGAACCTGTCCGAGGTCACCAACTGGACGGGCGCGTGTCCCTGCTGCACCAAGCTCTTGGGAATGAAGTAAGGTTCCAAGCTCTTGGGAGGAGGAGGAGGAGGAAGACGAGGAGGAGGAGGAGGGAGGAGGAAGGAGGAGGCGGACTAGGAGGAAGAGGAGTAGGAGGAGGAGGCACGAGAAGGAGGAAGGAGGAGAAGGAGTAGGAAGAGGAGAAGGAGGACCAGAGTTGTGGAGGACGATCAATGGAGAGGAGCATGCTGCCAAATCACTTCCAGCTGTATGAAACATGTGTTAAACATGTCACACTCATGTAACACTACATGATTAAGACATGTTTCGAACATTTTTCCGACATGTTGAACACATTCTAACTTCAATGATAGGACTGTTAGGGTATCCATTGTCGTGGCATCCACAAGGCTAGGAGGAAGAGTAGGAGGAGGAGGAGGAGGAACGAGAAGGAGAAGGGAGGAGAAGGAGGAGGAGGACCAGAGTAAAGGAGGACCAGAGTAGGCCCAAGATGTATCACTGGTGAACCCTTCCGTCCCAAGCTCCCTTTCTGTTAAGGTCCTGCAAGCCCTTCTTTCCCCTTCAAGAAACACCCCTGTGAACGACATGCCCCATGGGCCCACCATTGAAAAGGAACAAACTGAACTGCAATCTGGCGCGAGAAATCTGGAACGCGCGAAGGTATGATCATACAGTTGCTCAACGAGGTTTCGAGCGACGTCACCGTTTTGACGAACTACAGCCCCCCTCTCATCTGTGTAACACTGGCGCAACTTTTCGCTTTGGCCGTGGGCGTCGAGGAAGTCTCACAGTGGGAATGCGTGCCAAGAAACCAGTTGGATTTTGCCAGGGTGCCCTGGGTCTCTTGGATTTCGATGGGCTCCCAGTTTGATCCTGACGATCTTCGATCGACGCACGTGGATTTTCACTGGACGAATCGTGGATTTCAGGGCTGGGTCTTCTTGCGGAGGTCTCCTGTGGCCGACCCCGTCACCGTAAGATCCTCGGTATTCCGCACTCGTTCGTATCTCGAATTTCCACTGCGACTACTCCAGATTTCGTGATAAAAGGGAGGGGGTCTGGATTCTCCAAGACAAGCCATTTCAGACCTCCCCCGTGGGAGAACCCTCCAAAACATCGTCCCCAGACCCCCCAGGCCCTCCAAGATAGCCTGGAAGAGACCTCCCCCGAAATGAGACCCCCCTCCCTTTATTACGAAATCTGGAGTATCTTGGAAGAGGCTTGCGATCGACGCATGTGGATTCTCACCGAACAAATCGCGGATTCCAGGGCTGGGTCTCCCTGCGGAGGTCTCCCGTGGCCGAGCCCCCCGCTGTGAGCGAACGCCTAAAAGCTCTGGGAAGAGGCGGCCGCCCTCCGCCCGCGCAGCCGTGCGATCGGCTCGCGCTCCCGGTCTCCCAGCACCTGCAGACATCCCGACCGAGCTCCTCCTCCTCCGCCTCCTCCTCCTCCTCCTCGTCCCCCTCCTCCTCCTCCCCCTCCTCCCCCTCCTCCTCCTCCTCCTCCTCCTCCTCCTCCTCCTCCTCCTCCCCCTCCTCCTCCTCCATCTCGACAATGAGCAGCCTCTCACCCCTAAAGCGGGGGCGCGCACCAAGAAACCACTTGCTTTTCGTCAGGGTACCCTGGGTTTCTTCGCTCCGCGCGCCGCGCGGTGACTTTCCGCAGCCGTCGAAGAAGCTGCCGCGCTCAGGGTGCTCTGGGTTTCCCCTCAGGTGCACCTCGCGCGCGGGTTTTCAGGGTTGGGTTTCTTGCGGGGTTTCTTGCGGCCGCGCCCGCACTGTACAGCTGGCGCACGTGCTGACATTCCTGCTTGGTTTACCCGACGGAGGTCCAGGCGAATGCTCAGCCGTGACACATCATCGCCCCGTACTTCTCGTAACTGCCTCAAGCTTCTGAGGCGAACGCGCGCGGCGCCAAGGAGAGAGCACGATGTTGAGATGCTACCGCCATCCATCATTGAAATGGCTGCGAACTTTTGAAGACGAGTGTGCGCAGCGCAAAGGCGAGACCTACGTTTTGCACAGGGGCCGCCCTCCATCCTTGAACTTGTTGCAAGCTTGTAAACACGGATGTGCGTGGCGCCAGGGCGAGAGCTCCATTTTGAAAGCACCCCCCTTCCATCCTTGGAACCTGTGCACGCCTTTGAGGACAAATGTGCGCGGCCCTCAGATGAGAGCCACATCGTGAACACGATTCCCCACATGCATCCTTGAACTTGCTGCAATCTTTCAACGGCGAATGTGCGTGGCGCAAGGCCAGAGCCACATTTTGAAAACTATCCCCCCTCCATCCTGGAAGCTGTTGCAAATTTCAAGCTTCAGGGTCAGACGTGGAAAGGGGATCTCAGGCGAAGCGCCCGCCCCGCCCTCCCAACTCGTCTGGGTGTGCGAAGGGGAGCATTCTTTTATCAGGACGAGGGACGGGCGAGAAGGAGAAGGAGGAGGAGGAGGCGGAGGAGGAGGACGAGGAGGACGAGGAGGATAATGGAGGATGACGAGGAGGATTGGGATGATGATGATGATGATGATGATGATGATAATGAGGATGATGATGAGGAGGATGAGGAGGAGGTGGATGAGGAATATGAGCGAGGAGGATCGAGGACCACAGAATTCGGATTCGATTCGCGAAAGTGATCAAACGGAAACTACTGACGGGGGTGCAAGTACGCAAAGCGGAGGATTTAGCAGTATGGGGGAAGAGGAGGAGAAGGTAAAGGAGGAGGAGGAGCCATGTGTACACAGTTGGGAGCATAAAGGTTCAGCATCTTCTTTATTCAGCCAGTGCTTTCTCGGACGCGCTTTGGTTTTCTAGATATGGGCCGTCGCTCAGGTGGACTTGGCCGCCGCGTGCTACTTCCTTTGGTCAGATTTTGCAGTATCTGTTTGCTCCCAACTGCAGCGTTGCAATCGGTCGCAAAGACAGCACCAGTGCATCTGCAGTCACGATTGGATTTAAATCGAAGACACCTCCGGCGAATCACCGCTGTCCCCTGCTTTCTGGAAGCGCTTGTGTGTTCCAACGTTGGGCGTCAGTACGGTAATGGACATTGACCGCGTGCTGCCCGAGCTGTCGGAGAACAATTGGGGGAACACTGGTGGGGCCCTCTGGGGCCGTGTTGAAGTTGTCTTAAAACTCTGTCCGTGCTTTTTTGGCATTGTTGAGGGCCTCCTGGGGCTCTCTCGGGCCATCTCGGGGCTCTGCTGGGCCGTCGTAGGGCGCTCTTGGGCCGTCTGGTCCTTCGGAGGCCATCCTGGGGGCCGCTCTGCGCCGTCTTGGGGCCCTCTTGGGGTCGTTTAGGGCCGTCTTGGGGTTCTTTCAGGCCGTCATGGGACCATTTTGGGGTCCTCTTGGGGCCGTTCTGGGAGTCTTGGCCAGCCCCAGGTTTCTCGGGTCGTCGTGGACGCTCTGAAGGCCAAGAAACTGAGATTGCCCCAAACTTGGAAAACTTAAGGGGCATCTTTAAGTCTTGCTTGTGGAGGCCCTCTTCGGGATCCTCTTGGAGCCCTCGTGGGCCGTCTCGTAGGCCTCTTGGGGCGGCTTGATGCCATCTGGGCCGTTTTGACGGCCATCTTCGGCCATCCCGGGCGGAAACGCCGACGAGAGACCTCTTGTATGGGCGCTTCTGGGTGGCCAGCGGGTCGGGCCGAAGCCCTCTGGGAATCTTTTTGAAGGGGCTTCAAAATGCTACGATTACCCTGGCACGCCAACACCCGTCTGCAGGCTGCGGGGGCGTCGGATCGAAGACGCCTACGGGGAGTCACCGTCGCCCCCTGCCTTCGTGGAACCGTCGATGTGGCCAGACATTGTGCCGCCAACGCTTAGCCAAGCTATTGGACTATGCGGCCCCCCAGCCGTTTCGGAAACCCTTGGGGGAAGATTCGGCGGAGAAAGGGGGAAAGGAGCAGGCAAACCATGACGATGACGATGACGATGCCGATGAGGATGACGCTAATGATGATGGTGATGATGAAGACGAAGAGGATGATGAAGATGAGAAGGAGGATGAGGACCAGGATAACGAGGATGAGGATGATGATTCATGATGATGGTGACGGACATGTTTATTGCCACGGTGATGATTATTAGGATGATGATGATTAGGATTCCGATTATGATAATGATGCTGATGACGATGATAACACTGATGATGCTGATGATGATGATGATGATGATGCTCTTGATGCTGACGATGGTGAGGATGAGGATGAGGATGACGATGGCGATGACGATTCTGATGCTGATGACGATGTCGATGATGCCGCTAATGATGATGGTGATTTTGCTGATGCTGATGCTGATGCTGATGGTGATGCCGATGCTGATGCTGCTGTTGATGGTGGTTATGATGATGCTGATGATACTGTTGATGATGGTGCCAATCCTACGGATGATGATGAGGATGATGATTGGTGATACTGATGTTGATGACAATGATGTTGATGATGATGATGATTATGATGACGATGATGATGACGATGCTTCTGATTCTGACAATGTTGATGATGATGAAGATGATAATGATGATGATGATGATGATGATGATGATGATGATGATGATGAATCTGAGGATGAAGATGAGTACGAGGATGACGATGATGATTCCGATTAGGATGAGGACGATGATGACGGTGACCATGATGATGACGTTGATGACGGTGGTGATGATGATGGTGATGATGATGATGATGATGATGATGCTAGCGATGACGCTGATGATGATGTTGATTCTTGTGCTGGTGCTGGTGATGATGCTGTTGCTGGTGATGATGATGCTGATGCTGATGCTGACGGTGATGATGATGCTGCGGATGATGATTGTGATGATGATGATACAGGTGGTAGATGTTGGTAATGATGATGCTGATACTGATGATGCATAGGATGATCGTGATGATGCTGATGCTAATCATGATGCTGATGCTGCTGCTGATGATGCTGATGCTGATCATGATGCTGATGATGTTGCTGATGATGATGATGATGATGATGATGATGCTGATGCTGATGATGATGACGATGACGTTGACGATGATGATGATCACGATGAGGATGACGATGACGATGACGATCCCGATGCTG